AATTGTGCTTCGACCGAGCGCTGGAGGTTGATAATGATATCGCAGATGGAGGTAGTGGAGGAGGAGCAGGAGGAGGCGAAGAAAGCCTACGAGAAGAGGGGATAGGAGTAGAGGAGGTGCAGAAGCATAGGTTAGGAGAATACAGGATTCATGCGGTAGAATGTCCCGGACAGCAGCCCTAGGACGGACTACGCGCACACCTTCCACCCGAGTTTCGCCTTTGAAGCGAAACGTCTTCGTCACTCGAGAGACAACCCGCAAGGCGCCATAGCACGGTAATTTCATTAAACGACGGACTCTATCAGATCGGTGACAAACGTGAGGGCGGGTTACCAAGTCTCATTCGTGATAAGACTCAAACGACGATGGCCTGGATGGAACCAGGGAGGAAGGACGCATTAATTGCTGGAAACAGTGCTAGAGATTGGTAACATCCTCAATCATGCAGCTAGAGATTGGCAAAGTCATCTCACCGGGAAGTCAGACGGTGGCGCCTGGCACCGGTTTAGCGGCCAAACAGACAAGGCCCAACTGTAGGATGGGGCAGATCTCCAACAGGACCAGGAGAGATGGTACTTCCAGTTCTCTGGACCGTCTGCAGATCGTAGGAGGAGTTCCAGCTGGTGGTGAAAACTCCTGATCATCCCATTGGTAATCAGATTATGGGCTGTCGTCCGGACCCCACGTGACAAAACCGTCTGTCTCTTTACAACACATCACCATGACCGTCTTTACTGGCTTCACCAGCGGTAACATTCCGGTCATACCGCAAAACATTATCGCTATTGATCTCGCCACCTAAATCATGGGCCTAATTCCAAATTTATCAAATCTCGATCGCCCATTCGCATCACGCATTGCTGGCCGGTCACTTGTGAATCCACCACACTGAGCCTGGTGTATCATTGCCAAGGACACTAAATTACACACATCGCCTACGCCCCAACTTCATAGACTGCCCAAGGACTGCCGGTCATCGCATGGGCCCATTTGGCCACGTAAACCCCCTGCCAGTCTTCGGTAAGACCCCAATCTAGATACATCCATCGCGTCTGTCCCTGTTTGCCCACACACGCATCTGTTGCCACTTTGATTTTCCCAGACACCAGGCACCAAATCTGGCGATAATCACACCGCTTTCTATCAGCAAACATGTGGTTCGCTTCGTCATTGCCGAAGTGACCGGCGCAACTCTACATACCAAAACATGTACATCCTACTTGAGTTGGGATTGCTTTTTGCTAGAAGGGCACTCACCGATCTTGTTACGGAGCTCACTCGTCCCGTTGTGCCTTAGGACTCTCTCTCTCTCGAACCCCACTAGCAGCGACACAGCGACACATGAAATGGCAGAATGACATTACCTACAAGACAAGGGAGACCGGAGTGGCCATTCTCGGTTCATTAGCCGTCGTCAGCCAGGCATACTCAACACCGAAGTGTGAAACATCTGGGGCTGAATTCAGCTATCTGTTGGTTAGAAGTCCAACGCCCCTAACTACTGAGCCAGGAGTTCGTTGTTCTGTCGATTGCGATCGGTAATATACCATGATAGAGGCGCGCTCACCGACCGTTTTACGAAATTCACTCGTCCCGTTGGGCATTGGGGCTCTCTCACGAGTCTTTTGATGTATCCTGACACATATGTTGGTGGTCCGGTCGTGTATGGCACACGTACTCGGGTAATCTAGCTCTGTCGACCACTGCGTCCGATTTACTCAATAGCAAAATGACAGGCCGGGATGTTCGACCTGCGCG